TTATTAATAATTAGACATGACAAAAACTTGCAATTGAAGCAAAGGTAGAGCTATATTATTACTGCCACCATCATTTATCATTTTGAATTATTATTTTTTTAATTTCAAAATAGGTATATAATTTTATAAATTTGAATTATAGGATATGGTTTCAGATGTGAAGGTTGAAGGCAAACCTGTCACATGCATTTAATAAGTATTAATTATATTATAGTTTTTTTTTTTTCATTTTTTACACAGACCATATATAAAATGAATTAATACACACATATTCATTATCTTAACCCACATGAAGCTTGATGTGTTTGAATTTTCCCGCTCGATTATATGAATAAATTTATTTTATAAACATAATTAAATATTTTTTTATTAATTTTATAATTTAATTATGCTCATGTGTGACATTATTAAAAATTATTTCCACTCATACTGTCCCCTGACTCTTATTATATATAATTTAGCCCTTCTGAATTTCACCCATTTTAAATATTTGTAGTCATGGAATTATTGTTATTTTAAATCTCAAATTTGCATTCAAACCCCTGCCAACATTTAGTTTTGTACTTCAGACCCTGCACTTTGCTTTATTTCCAAGTTGCACCCAGCCTGCTCATTTTTTTGCCTATTTATTTATTTATTTATTTATTTATTTATTTATCGTGACCACATGTCGGCCATACCTTATCCACATTGGACATCAAACCTTAAATTGCCTCTCTGCATGCATTGTCTCTATTATTTTAATCTTTAAATATATATAAGATTCTTTTATAAAAAAAAAAATTGATAATATTACTGTGGTGTAATTGAATGTGGAAGATTTTATATTTACACATATTATCCTTCTAAATTATAAATTTGATCTTGTAATACCTAAAGCTTGTTAATAAAGTGAAGAAACGTGCGATCGTTGTACACTATAGCTGGAGACAACTGCAATAGTAGACCGAAGGCATGGAAGAATGACCAAAACGATATTTGCCGAAATTTGTGAATTCGATGGGTTGAGGTGTTTTTTAAGGAGAATGATTGAGACGATTAGAGGAAGAGACCCTAAATTGGGAAGGAATTCTCGTTGAAAGTTATCGAGCTTACCCTAAGTTGAGCATAGGTAAAATAAGTTAGCCTGAGGTATGGAGGACCGACCCGAGTTTTCATGAGAGTTGGTAGGTTTTGGAGTGTCTATCAAGGGCTCTCGTGCATGCCCTGGAGTGCCTATTACATGTAACTTTTAAGTATGAATAAAACACCGAACGATCCAACCAATCAACCAATGACATAAGACTTAAAAACGGACTAAGAACTAGAAACAAGCTACTTACAAGGTATTTTTTTAAAATGAAGTCTAAATGGAGCAATCAAGACGAAGGAGTACACGAGCTGCAGAGCTATGGGAGCTATAGGGGCCAAACTAGATTAGTGTCTTGTCTCTTCACATGGTGTCTTATTAACTCAGTATTTTATGTTTAATTGTTTTGAAAAAGTTGTGTTCCGTCGACTTTGTAATGTTTGATTTTAAAAAGTTTTAAATTATTGTGTATGCTCAAATACACCTAGTCAACAAGAGACGGTCTGTAACTCGAGTCTATCAAAAAACGAGTCGTTACAAATCTCTATGGTTTAAAAAAAAATTAGAATTTAGTCATTATAATAATTTTAACGTTAAAATTTTATTTTTATAATTTGAATTTATAGGTTAAGGTAGTCTAATAATAAAAGAAATATAGAAAGGTGGTCCAAGAATCTCTGTGAAATTGTCGGCATCTGTATTAAGAACATATAATATAGTTTAGTGACTTTCCGTAGGCTTGAAAAGGCACAATATTAATATAATTAATCTAAATATAATTTTAATTTTAATAACTTTAAAACTAAATAATCTCCATACGAATTGGATAATTAAAATATTAATTTACACTATTAATGAAATGGGTTTCTTTTTGTAATTTAGGGAAATTTAGGGAGAGAAATAAAATTTGTACAGAGGAGGACACTCTGCTAATAAATACTGTATTTTTCAGAACCGAAAAATCTCAGTGCTTGTCTGGCGGGTCAACAATCCACGTGTAACTCCTACGCTGCAGTTGTACCCCAGCTATGTGGGTCCTGATCATCCAAGTGGCATCTCCCACGTGATTCTTCTGCCATTTCTGTCCACCACCTAAACTAAACCGACAGCGCTCTCTCCGACTCGAACCTCCGAAACTAAACGCACCGTTTCGTTCAAAAGCTCCTCCACCACCCACTCCTCAATGTCTTTCACTGTCCCTTCATCTTCTTCTTCAAATCCAATTCCCAAAATGTCCATATCTTTTTCAATTATTCCATCTATGTCCTCCAACACCTCACACTTCGCACGTGGGAACTTCCTAACTTTCTCGCATACTTTCTCCACCACCTCCGCCCACCGCTCCGCCGCCGTCCGCCGGTACGGCCTACGCTCGATGTACGGCTTCAGCAACTCTTCCACCAAGTGGGAGAGTAATTTTCTATGGGTAATTGAAATATTATGATGGGTGTTGCAATTTTCAAGGAAATTAACAGAGGAGTACACTGATGTGGAAGTAGTACTACGGCGGAGGAGAATTTGTCTAATGTACTCCACCTCTGCCGTGATGTCGTGGTGGTTACGGCGGTTGGCGGCGGCGGAAGCGGTTGTGATGTTGATATTATTAATGGGTGGTAATTGGATGACGTGTTGGTGATGATGATGAATTGGAAAGTGGGATTGGTGGTTCGATGACTGCAGGCATCGCTTTGATTCCTTATCGCCCGTCTGTACTGCAGCTTGATTCCGATTGCACGGCGGCGGCTGTAAAAAAATAAAAAAACAAGATAAAAATCACGACCTATGATATTGTCCCGTTTAAACATAAGAAACAATTAGTATTAATACGGTTTCTCGCTTATAAACTCATGAGGATGAATACTTTGTATGAACCAAATTTACCTGCATTGGAGTTGGTTTAATGGGTGAGGAAAATGGGGGGTTTTTCTTGATGACAACGGTCGGAACAGAGCTAAAGCTCAAAAGCTTATCCGACAATGGAGTTTTCTTAAGAGGACTGTCAATGGCGGCCTTGGTGATTCTCGAGGGGACAACAAATGGCTCCTCTTGCTTATTACTCTTCTTCAACGCGGCCTTTGATTTCACTTTTTGCTTCGGTTTGTTCAAATTCTTCGGCTCCACTACTCTCTGTCTCGGAGATACCGAAGAACAAGATAATACCTTTCTGGGTTTTGTTTGGTTAACCATTTCATGATCTCTTCTTGCGTAGTTGGTGATATCATCGAGACCACCTTTTCTACTCATACTTTCTTTGATTTGCTTCACAATTTCCTTAGCGTGATGGCTTGGACTTGGGCTTGGGCTTGCATTTTCTTTATCATAATTGGGGATTTGAAGTGAAAGGCGTGGGTGATAGTTTTCCACATTTGATCTTCTTTCACAGGAACTTCTTGGGGTTTCCGGTAAGGAACGAGAGGCTGTTCTTTGCTGCTTATGAAGAATTGGGTAATTAAGAGGAGAAGCAGAGGCTGTTCTTGGTGTGGTTGAAGGAGAGTTTGATTGAGGAAGAAGATCCAAACCCATTAATCTCGCCACTAAAGTCGGCGTCTTGGTGCTCGGAGAGTCGCCGGAAAGTTTCTCCTTCGCCTCATTATTTCGTGATCCTTTGGTTTTGATTTGAAGAACACCCTTCTGCAATTCCATTACAATTCGTTTACAATTTCGTATTTCAATATGGATTTTTCTCAAGAACATCAATCAAATCACTTACTGGGAAATGCAGAGCATCCTGTTTTTGATTTCGAGTACATGATAATGGAGATTCTTCCTCTGATTCCAAACTGTTTCTTGGAGCTTCAGTACCTGAATTTTTCACAGACCCATTACTCAAAATCCAATTTCTTTTAGTGAATCATGGAGAGAATCGAAAAATAAAGAAAACCCATGATTAAAAATCAAAACTTGGACGAAATTATAAACAAGAAACCTGTGGAAATACGATGATCAAGTGGGTTGAGAGAAACAGGGCGCGATGGAGGAGGAGGGTGATGGTGTTGATTCAAAGGATGAAAATCAAAGAGATGAAACACAGCGCACATACAGCCAGCAGAAGTAGAAGAAGCTTCATGATCATCAAGAACACCATTTGGATCCTTATTAGCTCTGGCAGTTCTTCCGCCATGTCCGGCGGTGGAAGACCTCTGCTTCCCCATAATGGGCAAACCCCTGGGTTTAGAGCTTCAATTATGAGGAAATGGAAAGAGAGAGAGATTGGTTGTTATATCGCTCTCGAAAAGCGGATGAAATGAAGCATATTTATACAAGGCAGGAGGATTAGAATGCAGGAATTTAAGTACACCAACAACGAGTATGATCATTGTTGTTCTGTAAAATTGAGGTTGATAGTTATTTTTCACTGAAATTACCTCGACTTTCTATCCGCCATTGTTGCAGAAGCAGACAGTTTCTCCCTCTTGGGTTACTGTTCTACACTCACTCCCAAGTTTTACTGCACCGATACCCAAAAAAACCATAACCCTTTTCTCTCTTTATCTTTCTCTAGGGAATTGAAATGGCCGAAGGGAATAAGTGTAAATACGATGGAGAACGTACACTTGGTTGCCTTTGCAGTTAGCAGACGTGGGCTGGAAAGCTGCTTTATTTTAGCCTATTTTTCTAATATCTAACTTTATATAGTTGTAACGGGTGGATAGATATTATCTGTTTTAGCCTGTTATGTATAGTGGTATTAAGCCTGTTATGTATCGTGGTATTAAGCCTGTTATGTATCGTGGTATTAGAGAGTCTCAAAGTTTTAGTCTGTTTATGTAGCCAGTTTTAGTCGATCTCAAAGTTTTAAAGTGCATTTATTAGAGAGAGTTTTCTACACCCATATGAGAAATGTTTTGTTTCTCTCTACAACCGACATGTGATCTTAAAATCTACTCTCCCTTGGAGGCCCGACGTCCTCGTTGACATACCGTTTGGGGTCTGGCTCTGATACCATTTATAAAAACTCAAGTCCCCTACTAGTAGATATCGTCCGTTATGACCCGTTGTGTATTGTCGTCAGTCTCACAGTTTTAAAATACATCTACTAGGGAGAGGTTTCCATACTCATATAAGGAATATTTTGTTTCCCTTTCCAACCGATGTAGGATCTCACAATCCACTCTCCCTTGGAGGCCCGACGTCCTCGTTGGTACACCTCTTGAGGTCTAGCTCTGATACCATTTATAACAGCTCAAGTCCACCGCTAGCAGATATTGTCCGTTTTGACCCATTCAATATTGTCATCAGTCTCACAGTTTTAAAATACGTCTAATAGGGAGAGGTTTCCACACTCATCTAAGGAATGTTTTGTTCTCCTCTCCAACCGATATAGGATCTCACAATCCACCTCCTATCTTCGTTAGCACACCGCTCGGTGTTTGGTTCTGATACCACTGATAACAGCTCAAGTTCATCATTAGTAAATATTGTCCGCTTTGTCTTGTACATATCGCTGTTAGTCTCACAGTTTTAAAACGTGTCTATTAGAGAGAGATTTCCACACCCTTACAAAGAACGTTTCGTTCCCGTCTCCAACTAACGTGAAATCTCACAACTATACCCTTTGAACTTTGAATGTATTGCGATAGATATGATACGATGCATGGTTTTGGAAAAGGAATAAAAATGAAATTGAAAAGCTTTACACTAAAGTTGGATAAAGAGGGAAGCTTTTTGTTTTCGTGTGCTGAATTCAAACAAGATTTGATGAGAAAATGTATGAAAAGATTAAATAAAGATGAAAGTATATTAATAGTATAGTTTTGGAAATGCATGTGAAGCGAGGTTGTTTGGATATGAGACATGAGAGGGCATAAAGAGGGATATGGAGGACAGTATCAACCTGTAAAGTTCTCACTTTTAATCCCACTTCCAAACATACAGACAAACACCATCTCAACTCTATTCAATCTTCGGTCTTAAACCCTTTTGAACCTTGAGAAATTATCGAAGAAATTATAAAAATAAAATAAAATATGTCGATACAAAAATTATAAGAGCCAAAACTCACGACTAACAGGTATCACGGTTTTTAAAACGCATTTGTGTTTGGAAAATATTCCAATATTCCAATATTTTATTGAGATTGCTCCCTATGTTATTTGCATATTTCCTGTGAACAAGTAAAATGCTACCAAAATAATAACAAATAATAAATAAAGAAGCTATTTTTGATAAATCTTAGGTTATATAAAAAGAAGATAATAGTTATGCACATTATTCTAGGACAATGTCTTGTTTCAGTTTCAGTTTTTGGGTAAAAACTTTGCAGATTCCCTCCTTACAATAATATTCCTTTCAACTTAATCCTCATCTATATATATATATATATATAGAGAGAGAGAGAGAGAGAGATTTAAAATTCAAAAGTTTGGGTAAGTATTGGAATGGTGGACATATGATTATGGTGAATTGGAGTGACATGCCATTATTTTGATGCATTCTTGTTCCACCTCTAAATACCACTCACACAGACACTCCTTAGCCCACACACATCCTTATGTCCCCCGAATCACGCTTTTTCGACTTAAAGGCGTAACTATTATGTAGGTAAAAAATGACTTGAAAATGTAAAGCAAAAGTTCGAGTATATGAAATCATTCATAGAAATCCTAAGTTGGAAATGTTAAGAATTAAAGAATTTTTTAATGAATAAAAGAATGATAGGTAAAACATGAATTCGAGTTTGACTACTTTTGTAACATTTGAAAAGAAAAGAAAGGTAGTAACGAGAGAATAAAAATGTTCGGTACGTAGCATTACTTGAAGGTTGAAGTTGCTTTCATATTTAAATTTTACGATACTGGATGCAAGTATCGGGTTTTGACTACTTGTACACTGATTTATTTTGATATATAAGGGCCTTGTGAGGTCAAATGCCAATAGATGTTAGTTTACGACCATTTGGTGGTATTAGGTCTATCCGAATGAAATATTTCAAAAAAAAATATTTTGATACAGGAAGGAGAGATACCCGAAGCTAAAGTAGTTATACTGCCTGTATGAGTCAATCTTGTAAGGCAACACATCATTAGAGGTTAGTTGACGACTCTCTTGCAAAACTTGGTCTACATTACCATAGTAACTCTAATAGATATTGTTCGCTTAAACTCGTTACGTATCGTCGTCAGCCTCACAATTTTAAAACACGTCTACTAGGAAGAGGTTTCTACACCCTTGTAAGGAGTGTTTTGTTTCACTCTCCAATCGATGCAGGATCTCACAATCCACCACGCTTAAGAGCCCGCGTCCTCGCTGGCAGACCGCTAATTGGCTAGCTTTGATATCATTTGGCACAGTCTAGTCCATTACTAGTAGATATTGTTTCTTTTGCCTCATTACGTATCGTCTTAAGCCTCACAATTTTAAAACGCGTCTACTAAGAAGAGGTTTCCACACCCTTATAAAGAAATGTTCGGTTCCCTCCCTCATAGTACCTCATGAAAAACACATGTAAGAAGAAGTGCAGGGAAAAACAATTGTCACAACTATCATCATAAACTACGGACTGTCATAATCATTCAATACGAGTTCACTCAATAATAAGATCCTTCTCATCGCCATGCTAGATAACATACGGAAGCAAATCACGTACGAAAGAGAAATACTTTAAAATTGAAATTAAACACATTAGACATTTGATAGGCATTACATTCTCGAATCATGGCAGATATTGAAGTCATCAATTTATGGAAATTTGGAGAAATGGGTATTGTCGTTTTATCGAAACGCTTCGAACTTCTGAATCAAAATTGAAAAATTTACTCGAATGGTGCACAAGAACACAAAAATGGTACTATTTGGAGATAGGAAAGTTGAGAGAAATGGGTGTGAGGCCCCTCCTTGTTCCCATAACCTTATTCAACCATACCACTCTTTCCATTATTGAGAGAGAGAGATGGGGTTTCCCTTTCTCAATTATTAATATTCTTCTTCTATTGTCATTAAGTCTTTGGATATATAGAACATAAGGAACGCATAGTTTGATGTTGAAATTCAAAGCAAAAACACAATGATTCAGCTTTGAATCATATTTTTATTTTCCCCAACTTAAAAACACATTCATTATTCAACGCTCATATTACATCGATCTTATACAACATGGGACTACTACACAATTGGGAGCTCCTCCGGCAGCCACGACCGGCGGCGGCGCCACCGTGAACACCTGCCTTGAACATGTTGGTTTTAAAGTATGAGTATGTAGCGTGCAGGACACTCTTTTGACTCGATTTTACTGCTGCAATTACGAGGAAATGAACACCAAAAAAACAAAACAAAAGGAGAAAAAAAAATTTAACTTTTTTCACTAGGGTTATTACTACTTTTCTTTTTAATACAATTATTCAAAACGATGAATTTGAATATTATTGTGACATGTACCAATAGATATTGTCCGCTTTGGTCCATTATGTGTTGTTGTCAGCTTCACGGTTTTAAAATGCATTGCTAGGGAGAGGAATCCACACCCTTATAAAAAATGTTTCATTCCTCTCTTCAATTAATGCGAGATGTCACAATCGACTCCCTTGAGACCCAACGTCCTAGTTGGCATGCCACTTAATGATTGACTCTGATACCATTTATAACCGTCAAAACACACTGTTAATAGATAGTGTTAGCTTTAGCCCATTACGTATTACTGTCAGCCGCGTTTTAAAACTGTCAACCTAGTGTCAAAATGACATTTGACAAGTTCAATTATTTAATAGCATTTAAAGATGATAAATTATGAAGGCTTAAATATTGCAAAAACTCAGTATTTTATAATGAATATTTTTATTCAAAAACTATTTTATTCTGAATAATAATAATAAAAAAAATGAAGAATGTTACCGTTGAGGGGCAAGAGTTAGGCAGGCTGTCGATAAAATAATAATAATAATAAGTTATTAAATTCATCCTTTTTAACACAAAAACAGAGAGAATATCGTATATTTTTAAAGATTTTAACTCAAATTACAACTCCATCCCGACACCAATTTGTTTACCATTCCATCTTTATACATAAAATTTTAAATATTTTCATAACTTTATTATATTCTCGACTTTCTTATATAATGTTTAAAGTGTGATGGAGAGGGTCTTTAATTCTATCGATAAACTACATTGACTATCGACAAACCGAGGAAGTTTAAATCAGTCTTTGTAGAAGTTATAAACTTAGTCAAATCTGATCTGTTTGAAGTTCGTTTCCAACATGATACTCTTTTTATTACTATGTAATACTGCTCTTCACTACTCGTAGAACACTCATATGGTTGTCATCGAATCTTGAGATATCACAATTAGGAAGTGTTTATACGACTTAAGAATTCGATCCTAAATTACAAAGATTAAATGGGTTGGATTTTTTTTTCTCCAATTTGGATTGCATTCAATTTCTAAAAACTAAAATATTTAAGTTAATTGGCAAGTTAATCTAAAAAAAAAATACGGAGATTACAAAAATATGGTTAATTATTGTTTTTTTTTTATTTTAATTATTGTGAAAATTAAGAATATTTATTTAATATTTGATGTTATTTTTAAAATTATTATAAAGATCAGAATATTCGTTTAATATTTGATCATTTTTTTTAATTAATGTAATATATATATATATATATATCCGGATATTTTTTAAAATATTTTTTTTAAAAAAAATTATCCAACTAATAAAATTGGGTTGGGTTGTGAACTGGGTTCGTGGGTTCGAGTAATGGGCTCGAGTAATCCTTTAATTGGTACGATAATCCTGAAGGCCCAATCAGGCCCAATTAGGCCCAGGCAACCAAACTCTTGTAAGCCCAATATGGGTCTGATGCATTCGGGTCCAACAATTTGATCGAGAGATAATAGGGCGAGGGGTTGATTGTTCTCTGATGGCAGAAACACAGGGGCAGAAGAGAAAAATGGCGGGTAGAAGAAGGGAGGGAGATTCGAAGAAAACAGCCCCATCTTCCCACCCATCTTCCCAGTGGCCAGCCATTAAACCCAAGCAGGATCTTCAGATCAATCGCCTCAAAGAAAATGATCTTTTCACCGTAAGAATTCAGATCATAATTGCCTTTCAACTCTCCATCTCTTAATAGGTTTTCATTTTTTCATCTTCATTCTTGTTCAATCCCTCAATTTCTTCCTTTCTCTGTTTTTCCTTCATCTTTCCCCGTTATCGCTAGTGGATTACTTTTTACTGTCGAGATTATATCGTGAAATGGCTTCTTGACGCAACTTGCAAGATTTCTTGCCATACCCATTTCAATTTTCCATTTTCTGAATTCTATTACAGAAGCAATTACCTAAATTTGATTCTCAACAATTTCCAAATGTATCTGATAACTAGCTAATTCCATATGCTTTGCTTCAGTACTTTTTGGTGTGGGAATGAATGTAATAGTTGAATCTATGCAGGTACCAAGTTTTTTCACAAGTGTTGAGTCAAAAGCATTCATCAAGACGGCAGAGTCGATGGGTTTTGTTCATCAGGGGAGCCTCGGTCCTTCTAAAGGAGAAGCTTATAGAGATAATGATCGAATCTCGGTGAATGATCCTGATTTAGCAGACACCATTTGGCGTTCGGGACTTGATAAACAATTTGCTGATATTAAAATACGGGGAAAAGTTGCTGTTGGGTTGAATCCAAATATCAGATTTTACAGGTGACTTCAGCTTTACTTTCTTATCAAGCTACTATGCTTTTAGGGGAGTGTTGCCTCATTACAAAGCATTCGATACTTATGGATGAATTGGAAACGATTAAGTGTTACATGGATACACATGCTTATTCTTCTTGCCTTCAAGTTTCAAATTATATCAATCTAAGTTGAGCTATAATGCACAGATTATACTTCGTTTTCCTACTACTTTGAATGGATCAAGCATGCTTATTAACTTTCCTATAACTATCATAGTCTGCCCTTAACAAACACCTTGGTATAACAATGGTATTTCAGATACAACGTTGGGCAGCGCTTTGGACGTCATATTGATGAAAGTGTTGATCTTGGAGAAGGCAAGCGAACGTACTATACTTTGTTAATATATTTAAGTGGAGGTTCCAAAACTAAGACAAAAAATGATACCAACAATTCCAAAGATCCTTCTTCTGAGCCTCTAGTTGGTGGGGAAACTGTTTTCTATGGTTGGAGGAATGTCGTTGTGGCTGAGGTGAATTCCCTATTTTTATTTCCAGTTTCTTTGCTCCATTTACTTGCAATGTTCCTTATTATCACTCATGAACTTGCATGAGAGTCACCTTATTCGTCTTCTTGTCTTTCCCTTTTCCTGGTATTTCAAGTTCCTTGCATTTTTGTTTTTCTTTGCTTTGGTAGGTGGCTCCTACAGAAGGGATGGCTCTTCTGCATCTTCATGGAGACAAGTGTTTGTTGCATGAAGCTCGCAACGTTACCAAGGGTGTCAAATATGTTTTCCGTTCAGACGTCATATTTTCTTGACGATACGTTTAGGTAATTCTGTTGATTCATTGGTTGAGTTTCATGTTATTTGGCAGTATTTGTAACCTAGCCTTCTCTTTTCTTCCCTAGTTCCATTTTATTTGTCCACAATTGATATATTTCATCGACTAATACATATAATTGATGATAGGTTGTCAGTCTCGACGAAAAATAATTGAATTACCTACACATGGTTAAGATTGTGCTATTGACTTGGTTATCTACAGGCCCCATGATGTCGTGAAAACTGCCAAACAGGTCACTAAGGTATCCTCCTCATTTGATTCAATGTCTAAAAACCAGATTTTATATTGTAAAAGAGCTCGTCCAAAGTTGATTTTCTTGCGTCCAGGTTGGTCCCTGGAATAGCTAAAGAATTCAGTGTATCACTACTTGAAATGGAACTGTTCATAGTCTTATAAGCTGTATTACTTGGTGGCTTGTTGAAATATATGACATTCTACTGCATATGCCACTGATATATGCTGTTTGTTATATTTACCTTCTTTCCTTTTCTGCCAAAGGAATTTTATTTTCTAAATTTGATGTTTCATCTCGTGTCATGATTGTAGTTCAAAATTTCCATCTTTTTGTGGCTTTTGAATTAGGGCATTACAAAATGGTTCATTTTTATCGTATTCAGAAACTTAGATTTATAGGACGGGTGAGTGTATTGTTTGAAAAAACTCTTCTTGATTGAAGAGTTGTGTTCAACAATATGACATTAGAGCGAGGATGGTATAGGTTATCAGATCTCCTAAAACTCTTAGTATGCTATGCGGTTGCAGCTCTGACTGGTCTTCCACATCAGAAACAATATTTTGAGACTATTAGTGAGTTTTTTTCGTGTCGTGAGTAGTCAATGACTCTACAAGTTCTATGTCGAAAACTAACTTGTTTGGTATTATTGACCGGTGATGGATGGAGGAGTTCGCAATAGAAAATGGAAATGGAGTTAATAGCTTCTTTACCAGAAAAGTTACCAATGTTGGTTCACCATGTCGAAGTTTATACACCTCAAACTATTTAAGGTCAAAGTTGAGCCATTAGTTCTTTCATTCTCCACAGTTGGGGAAGAGAAATCCTCACTTTCAAGATTACAGATTCATAGATATCTCAAGGGTCAGTCGTATTAGGTTCTTTCTCTTGGAAAGATGAAGGAATTCAACCCCATAGGCTGTTGAATATTTAAAAACATGGCCATTTTGTCTCTGATACTGTCTTATTCCTTTACAAAATAACAGAAGACGTCCGATACAGCAGGAAAATGGTTATTGTTATAGTTGCTATTGTTCAGTGAACTTGTTCTTGCCTCAATCTCACTTTATTTCAAGCAGTATGAATTCAACATTACATAACTTTCGTTAAAAAAATTTAAAAAGACTCTTTCTGTCCCTCTCTCTCTCCCTCTTTCTATCAGTTCACCACCCTGCAATTGAATCTGACATTGCCATTTTCAATAACCCCAACATTACCCAATTTCACCATTGAAGCTGCAAATTCCTTAAAGAACAAGTTCTGATCATTAGCAAACGATTCAACAATCGTTTTAGTCCTTGAATCACCAAACAGAGATTGATCCGAACCAAACACACCCTTCCCTTCCAACAGTCTCTTGTAATACACATTGTCAAAAGTTGAGGAAGTTGGGTCCAAGAACTGTCCTGCATTTTTGTCCAAATTTGGTTTTGGACATTTGTTTTTCAGAATTTGAGCAAACCCAGATTCCAAAGTTGGATCAGTATCATGAATCGAGCTGAAGTTGCGAAGTCTAGATTGAAAGGAAGAACAGTGGGAGAACCCAAGCGTATGAGCCCCGGATAGAGCAACCAAGTCTTTAACTTGCAATCCTCTGTTTGCAAAGCTCTGGATTAGTTGAGATACATTGAAAGTTGGAGCTGGTAAGTTGATGGTTTCAGAAGCATTGGAAATCTTCCCATCTTTCCTTCCTTTGAGTACACTCCAATATGGCCCCCCAGACTGCATATTTTTCCAACACATGAGGAAGGCAGAGTAAATATTACTGAACTTTTGGAATTAATGAGCAAGATGTTTGGAGGGGTAGCGATGATGAGTTACTTACCAGAGTAACGATATCTCTAGCAGCAATGGCGACAATATCAGCACAAGAAACAGAATGTGGGCAAGCAGTTTCAAGCTTGGATTTGGCCTCGTCGATCACATAAAACGACCTTAGCGAGATGTTTGGAGGCGCATCTTTCTCTGCCTGATTCCCTGGCGTTGAATCTATCAGCACTGATGCATCGCATCCCTGTCAAGTTATAAGTCATGTCAGCAAGGAATTGAAACAGAAGAGAGTAGCAGAAGATGTTTGGAAGATTACCCTTATGAAACAGTCGTGGAAGAAGAGCCTGAGAAGACGAGCAGGGACTCTCGGGTCGTGAATGGAAGCATTGTAGACGGTTTGGAGGATGATTTTCTCGGCATTGGGACATGTTTTAGAGTAATAATTGGTATCAAGAACTGCTTCCGACACACAAACAATCATCATTAGAAACAAGACTGTCGCATTTTTAGCCATTGTCTGAAACATAAAAGCTTGTCCTGATCAGGTACTCTACTTTGGTATATTCTGCTTGACAAAGTTGTGATCATTATATAGAGATTTATAAGAGAAAATTAGCTGTGTTCATTGGGATTCATCCTACTATTACTGTACTTCCAAGCCACTCCATTGTGGAATAAGAGATCAGCTGTACTGCTCACTTTTCCTCCTCTCAAACTTTGGGAACCCATTAAGCAACCATGCAAAAAGCATCCATAATAATAATGTTTTGTGTTATTCTAGTCGTTCTAGTACAAGATTCACCCCCTCACGGATTGAGTTAGGTTAGGTTGAGTTGGAAAAATCTCTTCAACCAACCTACAATTTCGAGTTAGTTTGGTTGGTATGCCGAACAACTTGAATAGTATTAACAATTCAACCCAACCCTTTGTTTTCGGGTTGAGTTATAGGGTTCTTTTTTTCATAAAATTCAATTGTCGTCCTTTACAAGTTACAATGCATCATTAGCACCATCAGTTACAAACAATAAATATTTTTAATCATTTTAAAAGTAGGATAGGGTAGAATTCTAATGTAACTCTATTTTCAATGTGGTAAAATTAGATTAAAGAGTTGATTAGTAGGCAGTGTCCATCAGGTTTGGTGTGTGGATGTGGATGGATGGGTAGATGTGATAGTACAAAAACAATATATTATGAGCTTAGTTCTGATTTTGAAAGTACAAACATCGTCGAATTAAAAGAAAGAGGAGACGTGAGTCGAAGGCCAAGTGCTCTAGTCAACCTTAAATGAAGCCTAATCTAATACCTCCTGATCAGCCTAACTCCGATCGTAAAGGAAATGGATGGAATCCTAATTGAAGGGCATATAAACATTCATTTTTCACATTGAGAAAAATAAATGATGCGATTGTATCTATTATAATATTGAGCTATGGCCATAAGCTGTCCGTGAATTAAAAAAAAAAATCTTCGGATTTGAGGAGTCCAGCATCAGCCAATCTAATGTTGACACGTGTAAATCTGGCACATGACAGGTAGCTTCGATGACGTGGCCCACCCTTCCTGACCTAACTCCTTTACAATTTAAAAATAATCCAATAGGCCTAATGTGGGCCCCACCACGCGGCACGCCTTGCTTGCGGGACCCTCCATACACGTGCATCCCAATCTTTTTTCTAACCCACCACCTTGCACGTGGGAACATCTGAGTCACGTGACCAATATTTCCTAACCCTCCTTATTTACCGTAAATCAAGGCAAGTCTTCTGAGCTCTGCTAAAAAAGGAAACTTAGTTCCATTGATGAAGTGAGAGATTTGAGTAAGCTCTGTCCCCAACTGTTTAAATCTCCAGTGTTCTTACTATTACACTACAGTTAACACAAAATTTCATATAAATTCAAACAGAGCAACGAAGAAGGCTAACAATTAATTTCCCAAAGAACTGCTTTTTTCCTACTCTTTTTACATTACTAACTTCTAACACTGCAAACAAGAAGATGATGAAGAAGAAGATGACGAATTTTTCAAGGTTTTGAACATGGCGCTTCAGAATTTGCAGCCTTTGCCCGACCCATTAATTCCAGTTCCTTCTTCTCGTGAATTTCCATTGAGAAATCTCTCAACATTTCAGTGGTACCGATTGAAGACGCCGCACTCGAAGTTGACGGAGCACTCATCGTCACCGGAATCGAACTCTGAGAAATGGTAGCCGACGAAGAACCACTTCCCATTCCACTGGAACAATTTGTTATACCTCCTCTGGCTAGAATCGGCACTACACCCCCGAATTGCAAACTGGGATTTATTGACGACACGAAATTAGATATGGGTCTCGCCGGCACCGCCCAGAGCTGCGGCTGTTGGTTGCTCGACGTTCCCGGAACCATGAAGAACTGCTCTGTAACGCCACCGGCGTTTGCCCAGAATGGAACGATACCGGCGCCGTAAGCTGCCATTGGAGTAATCGGCGTAAGCCCCGAGGAAACAGAAGTTTGATCGTTGCCATTGTTGGATTCGGCGTAAGCGTGTTTTTGTCTTCTTTTTCTCGGTGCTTCGGGAATTTTCGCATTTGGCCTCGCCAGAGATGTGGTCGGGATTTTAAGCGTCCCGCCAACGGAAACGGCGATGGCCGGAACGGTGCCTGTTCCCGTCGCTTCGATTATTGCCGGTTCTGCGTGCTCGAGTAGCCACCGGATTGTCTCCCCGTCGGATTTATGGTCGAGTTCTCTGGTCAGCTGAAAGATACGGGCAGCGCAAGCAGCCGGCATCCGAATCCTCCGGCCGCGGCCCTCCACCTTCGTGTGGCGGTCCTTGGACGGACGTTTCGCCGGTTTCGCCCGCGTCGACGGTATCTGGAAAAGACTGAAAGGATGCGAAGTATCCAATCCGTGCCCCGAAACCGCTGTTTGGTGATCCGACGGTTGGCCCGACAGACTCTCCTCAGCCTTAATAAGATTTAAAGAATCCGCAGTAGTTTGGGTCTGGGTTTCAGAGCAGCCATTGGAGATTCCTTCCTGTTCCTCTTCCTCAACGCGATGGTTTTGATTAGCTTCCTCCATGTAAAACCCAAAAAATCAAAATCAAACCAAAACCCAGAAAAATTAAGATATAATCACAGAAACCCAGCAACGAAAACGCCTGAAATCGAGTAATTTCGAATCAGTGAAGCGTTTCAGAAGATGAACTCGAAGAAGAAGAAGAAGAAGAAGGGAATAAAACGTTGACTAGAGCAGAGTGAATCTGATCTGAAATTTGCAGTGTGGATGATTAGACAGACTGATACAGAAATCAAAGCAAAAAATTGAGTTTTAGACTTAGAATTTGAAGTCAAAGAACGAACCCTAGAGCCGAGGAGCAGTTGCAGAGAGCAATAAGCCAACCCCACTTTTTCCTTTGAAGAGGGACCCTCAATCAAAACCCTATTTATCTATCGGAGTTAAATTAATGGACGGTTCAGATCTTGCCACGTTTTTGCTTAGGTCAAAGATTTCTTCGGTTTCTGCCCAAAAAAATTTAATTAATTAAAAATAGAGGTTGCATATATATATATATATATATATTGAAATTTTGACAAAAAGTGACTATTTAGCCATCAAGAGCTTGTTTTGGTAGTGAAGTCGAAGTTGTGTACAACATTCGCCTTGAGAAAAAAGATGGGATTGTGTAACTAGTTGGGGGAATATTATGTTCAATCTGAAATGGGTTTTGTTAGATTCGATCAAAGATTGTAAGAACTTAAGGATCTTTAAGAAGATTCATGCGCAGTTGGTAGCATCAGGATTAGTTTACGATGATTTTGTCACAAACAAAGTGGTTGAATTCTTTGCCAATTTTGTTGAGTTTGGCGACTATGCCTGTGATTATCTCAAACAAGTCAACATTCGCTTAGGTTCGTTTCCATTTAACTCCCTGATTAATGGATATGCTGGTGGTGAGTTCCCACAAATGGCGGTTTCAGTTTATAGAAGGATGGCGCGAGATGGGTTTGTGCCTGATTTGTTTACTTTTCCAGTGCTTTTTAAAGCATGCTCTAACTTTTCAGGGAGCAGAGAAGGTAGACAGGTTCATGGCGTGGTGGTTAAGTTGGGGATTTTGAGTGATCTTTTTGTGCAAAACTCGCTGGTTTGTTGCTATGGAGCTTGTGAGGATTTTTCTTGTGCAGGTAAGGTGTTCGATGAAATGCTTGTTCGAGATGTTGTTTCGTGGAACAGTTTGATATCTGGGTTCATGAAGGCGGGGCGTTTTGATGACGCAATTTCTTTGTTTTTCAGGATGGATGTGGAACCGAGCGTTGCAACTTTAGTTAGTGTGCTTGCTGCTTGTGCAAGAAAGGGAGAGTTGTATATGGGGAAGGGGATTCATGGTATGATCCAGCGAAGGTTTAAGTTGGATTTGGTTCTAGGTAATGCAATGCTGGATATGTATGCAAAGAATGGATGTTTATATGAAGCTAAGAACATATTTGATGAGCTCCCAACAAGAGATATTGTGTCATGGACTATCATGATCACTGGATTGGTGCAGAGTAACCATCCAAAAGAGTCCTTGGAGCTGTTTTGGATGATGCGAAACTTGGGCATTAGCCCTGATGGTATTATCTTAACTAGTGTTCTATCTGCTTGTGCTAGCCTAGGAACACTCGAGTATGGAACATGGGTCCATGAGTACATTGATCAAAGAGGAATCAAATGGGATATCCATATTGGAACTGCTATTGTTGACATGTATGCCAAATGCGGCTGTGTCGAAATGGCTCGGCAAATCTTTAATAACATGCCTCAAAGAAATACCTTCACTTGGAACGCCTTGCTATGCGGTCTGGCTATGCATGGACTTGCGCACGAAGCGTTATTTCTTTTTGAAGTTATGATAATATCAGGTGTCAAGCCTAATGAGGTAACATTTCTAGCAATTTTGACAGCTTGCTGCCATTCTGGTCTGGTTGATGAAGGGCGCAAGTATTTTGATAACATGAGTAGTCAAACGTATAATTTATCTCCGAAGTTGGAGCATTATGGATGCATGATCGATTTGTTGTGTCGAGCGGGGCTCTTGGAGGAAGCTGTGGAGTTGGTAAGGACCATGCCAATGAAGCCTGATGTGCTTATCTGGGGAGTGCTACTAAATGCTTGCAAAACTGTTGGAAATATTGAGCTCTCTCAACACATACAAGAGTACATCTTGGAACTTGATACGGAGGATAGCGGAGTCTTCGTGCTGCTGTCCAATATATCTGCTACTAATGAAAGATGGTCCAATGTGACTCGATTAAGGAGGTTGATGAAAGATAGAGGTGTAAAGAAATCACCTGGATCAAGTGTCATTGAGGTGGATGGTAAGGCTCACGAATTCGTGGCTGGCGATATTAGTAACCTTGAAATCGAAGAAATCTACAAGGTGTTAACCCTCATTAACTCTGTCCTCCATGAAAGCCATTTGATGCACCCATTGTAGGTTGCTGGTTCACTTTTAGTATACGTTTCTTTGCCTTTTAGTACATAATTACGTTGCTTCAAATGGACTATTACATTCTATTATGCTGTGTTTGATGTGAATATTTCCTTGTCCATGCTCTTGAACTTGAACTTTTACCGGTTGATGCTGTGGAAAGTCTGTTATTAAATGATTTACATTGTGGGAATCACCTGTGTGCCATATACTCTTCATGCTCATTTGAGTTGATCTAAATGATTAGACATATACAATGTAACGGCCCAGGCTCACCGCTAGCAGATATTGTCCTCTTTGGGTTTTCCCTTATACGCTTTCCCTCAAGATTTTTAAAACGCGTCAGCTAGGGAAAGGTTTCCACACCCGTATAAAGGGTGTTTCGTTCTCCTCCCCATCCAATGTGGGATTGTGGGATCTCACATGTGATGCCCCATATTGGTTGGGGAGGAGAACAAAACACCCTTTATACGGGAGTGGAAACCTTCCCCTAACAGACGCGTCTTAAAGCCTTGAGGGGAAGCCCAAAGAGGACAATATCTACTAGCGGTGGGCTTGGGTCGTTACAAATGGTATCAGAGTCAGACACCGGATGATGTGCCAGCTTTCTCGCTGTTCCCCAAAGGGGGTAGACACGAGACGGTGTGCCAGTAAGACGCTGGGCTCAAAGGGGGTGGATTTGGTGGGGTCTCACATCGAATTGGAGAAAGGAACGAGTGCCAGCGAGGACGTTGGGTCCCGAAGGGGGGTGGATTGTGATGTCCCACATTGGTTGAGGAGGAACCCTTTATAAGGGAGTGACGCGTTTTAAAGCCTTGAGAGGAAGCCCGAAAGGGAAAGCGTAACGACCTAGGCCCACCGCTAGCAGATATTGTCCTTTTTGGGCTTTCCCTTTCAAATTTTCCCTCAAGGTTGTCAAAACACGTCGGCTAGTGAGAGGTAAAGAATTCTTCGTTTCTCTCTCCGAGTGATGTGAGATCTCAAGTGTGTATATATATATATATATGATGTATATCATGAGTCTATAGAGTTCTCGTCGTATTTTTCTTTCCAACTGGTGGTTCATCCAGCAGACCTCTGTTTTAAGCTGCCAGAAAACTCTAGCTTAGAGGAAGGAGCCATGTGCGAGCCCTTGAGTGTTGGTGTTCATGTTTGTGATTGGTCCAGAAACAAATGTTTTGGTGATGGAAGATAAATGTAACTAAAATAGGGGCGTGAAGGCCAAGTTTCGAAGATCAGATAGCTACAAGATAAAGGATAAGGGATAAGTGATTAGAACCACACAAATTCAAGACAGCCTCGTAGAACATTATGCTTTGATTTCATGGACAATTCGGATATTCTTTAACAGAAACAGAGCTGGTTTCAAAGGAAGAAAAAGGAGATTACCCCAAATGGGTTGTAAGCTAAACACCCCCAACGCTCCATTTCTCTTCAAATTCCCCACAAAAAGCCCAAAACTTGGAGGGAAAACCTTCACTTTCTGTCCTAATTTCTGTCTCAGCAGTCAAAGCCAAGAAACACCCACCATTTCCACCGCCAAAACCCCTCAAACCCAGATCCCAAAATCTAATTTTTCCACCGTTAATTTCAAGTCTCTCACAGCCTGTAAGCTTGGCATCTCCAGATACCCTGATTTTGAATACAACGCTGAAGGAGGAACAGGAACTGGCTCCGCCAAGATCGACGGCGACGGAGGCAGCGGCGAAGTTTCAGTTTCATTCGATTTGGGCACCCTCTATATCCCGCCATTGACAACTCAAACCACAAAGTTTCTTGGTCTTCCATTGCCACCGTTTCTGAAGATCGACATCGTCCCAGAACTCTTCCACGGGAACATCAATCAAGAATCCGGCAAGGTAATGTCTGATAAAAGTCCTACCCATCCGAACAAAATCCAATACAAAAATATTGATATGCTATATGTGGACATTTTGATGCAGATTGAGCTAGAATTCAAGGCAAAGTTCTTATTCTCAGTTGGGAATGTGTACAAAGCTCCTCCATTGCTGGTAAAAACAGTGCTGACATCTGAGGAATCAAAAGGAAGCATAAGAAGTGGAAAAGGTGAAAGATTAGATGAAAAGGGCAAGTGCAGATTGGTGGGGGTAGCCATTGTTGACCCCATTGATGATCTGCTTCTCAACTCCTTCCTCTCTCTCCCCACTGAATGCATTGCAAAACTCAATGCCATAATCACGTTCTCTTAGACACACGAAGAAGAAACTGTAATTTTTGTTTGGGACAAAACCAGACACATACATATTGAAACCAACAATTTTAATGCATAGGTACTTGTTCTGTTCTTCCGTCATTTTTATTTGTGTTTGAAGTGGAGAGCATATTAATAATATCTCCTTTATATGGCTGAGATTTTGTCTTAGGAGAAGAACATGGTTTTAGTTTTCCATTCATTATTTTATAAGATTTAGAATAATTTATTAAAAAAATTATTACTACTCTTTAATATATAAATGAAAGGTTCCAACTTTTTACGCGGTATTTGTAGTGTTACATCCTAATAAAAAAAGTCGAACCCGGTTTCCATTAAAGCTTTTCTTTTTATGTTCTCACGATAATGAATCAATTCAGTTTTTTAACCTGTCTAGTGTAAAGTTTTTCTTTTTATCTTCTCACGATAATGAATCAATTCAGTTTTTTAACCTGTCTAGTGTAAAGTTATATTTAATGTTTTATCAATACATTAGGAATGAGAATGAGACCTACAACTTCGACCTATGAAAAATATGTGACAGTGGCGTGAATGAAGGGTTGAAATTACTACGTTTTTTCTTTTCAATGGCTAAATTGTAAATTTATTAAAGTTAAACGGTACAACTCAAGTCTAACTGCTCAGAAATAGTCCTCTTCGAACTTTCCCTCTCGAGTTTTCCCTCAAGATTTATAAAAGGCGTCTCTTGGGGGAGGTTTCCTCATCTTTATAAAGAATGTTTGGTTCTCCTCCTCAATCAACGTGGGATCTCACAATCCACCCCTTTTGTGGTCTAGCATCCTCGTTGGCACTCGTTCCCCTCTCCAATCACATCTAAATCTTAAGAATATTGGGGCTAAGTACTATGTTTTACCTTATTAATATCCATCAAGAAGAGATTATAAAACACATACTATAGATGGATGAGACGGTGTAATGTTTATATATAATAAAAAAATAAAAAAACAAACAAACAAAATTTCAAATTTAATTTATTTGGAATTATCGTAGAATAAAATATCTTTTTGTTCTAAAAAAAATATTAATCCGAAAAGAAAGGGAGTAAAAAACAAACATTATTGTCAATATAGGATAGACTCTAAAAATAAAAAAAAAAAAGGGGGGGAAATTCATACACTTGTACTAGAATAATTATAAATGAAAAGACTTTGGTATATGAATTTAATAAATATGAAATATAATTGAGAGGTCTGAATTATTTATTTAATGGAAGGAAAGAAGATCCGAGTTAATAATAGGGAAGGTGTTTGAGTAAAATGGAGGAGAGGAGAGAAGAGGATGAATGGGTGCAGGTGTCAATCAGTAGGAAGGCGAAGATCATCAGCTCACATCACCACCACTCTTTCCCCCTCCGCCTTTGATTTCCCCATTTTCCATTTCTAAATTCTCTATCCCTTCTGTTCTTCATCTCTTCCTCCCTCGCCTCCAATCCAATCCAATCCAATCCTCTCCTCTCTGTTTCTCAACAATCCCTTTACTCTGTGATTCATGAAACCTTTCCTCTTTAACAATCTTCACTCTCTTCACTCTTATTATTGACTCCTTTTCACTTTCCACCCCATCTCATGGCCCTTCTCTTTCCTCTCCCTTTCTTCTTCTTCTTCTTCTTCTTCTTCTTCTTCTTCTTCCTCTTCCCTCCCCTACACGCCAGCCCCGGCGACTCTGATCCACTTTACAAGTAATTCCCACTTCATTTCGTTCTTCTGCGTGCCGTTTTGATTTGGGTTTTATTCGGGTCCTCATTTTCAGTTTGCCCTTTTTACGCTTCTCCCGTTAATGGGTATTTTCATTTTCAAATTATTGCTTGCTCCTTGCTCCTGATTGCCGAATGATGCTGGGAACTTTGTTTTTTATTTATTCAAATAAAAGGGGTTGCTCTGTGGTTGTGTGATAATCAACGCATGCAATGTTTTCTAATTCTGTGCTTCTTTATCCGTTCATTCTATTCTTCTACTACCTTTTACTCAGAAATTCGTCAGAGTTTTTAACGTTTTCATCCTTTTATTGTATACTAATTATTGGGTAAACTCCCAAATACTAAGTGCCCTCTTACCCACTGCCTGAATTTTCTCCCCTTTCTTTTTGCTTCAACTTTTGAAATTTTAGTTCACTAATTCAGCACCAATTCATCTTATTACAAGAAATTCGTCAGGTCTTGTTATTTGTGAACACTGTTTATTTAGGCACTAGCTTCAATGGGTAGGTATTAGATTAAGTCATTGAATTGGGTTTTGACCATTGATATTGGTTTGGATAAGAGTGTGAAGAAGGGGGTTTCATTTCCTTGTTCAGCAAACGTGCTGCTTATCTTCATGATTTCCTTGTCTATTATTGTTCAGGGATTGTGTGGTGCAGTGTGAGAAATCTGGATGCGCTGGTGACAAATGTTTTCAGCATTGTAAATTCTCATCTGATGGGAAGCCTGTGGATGGTCCATGGTATCTGCAGGAGCCTCTGTATCTTCGATGGAAACAGTGGGACTGCCAGACTGATTGCAGGTACCACTGCATGTTATCTAGGGAGGAAGAAAGAACAAATCTTGGTGGTGAGCCTGTCAAATACCATGGGAAATGGCCATTTAGGCGAGTCTATGGCATTCAGGTTTGCTCATTGAATTGGCCTAATTTCTAAATGAAATTCATCCCCATTGTGCTCTTCTTCTTCTGCTCATCTTGAACTTTTGCCATTGATATGATAGGAGCCAGTTGCAGTTGCTCTTGCCGCACTCAATCTTGCGGTGCAATTTCATGGCTGGATATCTTTTTTCCTTCTTCTAAACTACAAGCTTCCACTGAAGCCAAATAAGAAGACATATTATGAATATACTGGGCTGTGGCATATCTATGGCATCCTAGCCATGAATTCTTGGTTCTGGGATGCTGCATTTCACTGTAGGTAAGCTTTCTACAAGCTAAAATAACCTCTTGACATTACTGTTTTTTCAAAACATAGTCCTGAATTCTTCCTTAATTAATATGAATATGGCTAGTTGCCTTGTTATTATTAGCAAACTCAACATTTGTGCCCATCTTTCTACCCTACCGTAGGCTACTCTTTACAGTTCTAACTTACAACCTGCATTGCTATGGTGTTTGGAATTGAATTGTTTGTAGACATGTGGAGTTGACTGAGAAGCTGGATTATTCTTCAGCTGTGGCATTTACTGGGTTTTCCCTAATTGTAGCCATACTGCGAGCTCTTAATGTGAGGGATGAGGCTGCTAGAGTCATGGTCTCTGCTCCAATTATCTCATTCGTCACAACCCATATCTTGTATCTCAACTTCTATAAACTTGATCATGGTAATGCATCCATTTCTTAGACCGTATTTCTTGAACGCAGTTATATGATTCTGTTTGGAATGACTTTTCGACGCTTAGAAATACTTTTTTTAACACTCTTAGGAACTCTCTAAGAGTCACCGTTTCCCTGTTTTACATATTGTTCTCACCTACGTTGTTTGTCTCAATTAGACAACTTATTTCTCTGTCTGGTCCCTTCCTTGTATGTTATCAACTGTCTAAATGTCTTCCATGTTTGTTGTTCAATTATCAATATCCTTGCAAGGCTATGCAAAAGAAAATTTGAGGGTTAGCTTCTGTTGCCTCTAGTTCAGGTTGCTAGGTGATGTGTCCAAAGAGATGAATGGATCACTGGACTCCATCTCTCATTGTGTAACGACCCGCTTTTTGAGTCTGACGGTGATACATAACAAAGTAGGGCTAGACCTTCTCCATAGTAGTCACGTTTTAAAATTGTGAGGCTGACGGCAATACGTAACGGGCCAAAGCGGATAATATTTGCTAGCGGTGGGTTTGTGCTGTTACAAATAGTATTAGAGCCAGTCACCGGATGGTGCGATGAACTGATTGGCATAGGGCTAGACCCTCTTCATAGTAGACGCGTTTTAAAACTGTGAGGCTCACAGTGATACGTAACGGGCCAAAGCGGACAATATCTGCTAGCGGTGGGCTTGGGCTGTTACAAATGGTATCAGAGCCAGTCACCGGACAGTGCAATGCATTGATTGGAGTAGGGCTAGACCCTCTCCATAGTAGGCGCATTTTAAAACCGATACGTAACGAGCTAAAGCGGACAATATCTGCTAGTGGTGAGCTTAGGCGGTTACAAATAGTATTAGAGCCAGTCACCGGACGGTGCGATGCACTGATCGGAATAGGGCTAGACCCTCTCCATAGTAGACGCGTTTTAAAATCGTAAAACTGACGACGATACGTAACGGGCCAAAATAAACAATATCTGCTAGCAGTGGGTTTGGGGTAATAACATATTTGTTGTTATGACTGGCTTAAATTGCTACATTTCAGGTCTGAATACTAAGGTCTGCCTGGTGATGGGCATTACTCAGCTTCTTGTTTGGGCAGCATGGGGCGTTGTTTCTCACCATCCGTCGCAATGGAAGCTGTGGGCATTAGTCTCGGGCGGTGCAGTTACGATGCTGTTGAAGGCATTCGATTTCCCTCCATATGGAGGATATGTGGATGCTCATGCACTCTGGCATGCTACTTCAATACCTCTTTCATATATATGGTGGAGTTTCGTGAGAGATGATGCTGAATTCATAACTTCTGGTGTTCTCAAGAAGGTGAAGTAGAATACGTGATGTTAATCAGATGGAGGAAATTCTGAAACCACTTTCATTTCAGTGTTAGTTAGTTCATCAACACTCTGGTAGGTTCCCTTGTTTTTCTGGTGTTGCTTGGCGATTAACAAAATGTTGCCCAGAAATGTTGTTTGTATAATGATATTTGCATATCAGGACCAATGAGTTTTGTTTTCTGTTCAGTCTGTGTTTCTTTTTTTTTTTTTTTTAACTTCTTGGTCCTGAGATATTTGTGGGTCAACAGATGAAAGCCCCTCAGCACCATGGCAGTTCTTCTCAATGTAAACATACAATATTTTGCTGATATCAACAGTTTGTGTTATTCAGTCTGTGATGCAGTTTGCACAATTTCTCCTTTGCTTAGCTTGCTTTGGAATATCATTTTCAAACCCAATTTTCTTTCATTTTCCTTTATATGTTCTTGCATGCTAACTCTATAGAAACACTGAAACAACAATAACCCAGTTTCTTAAGGTGAGCGATATGGGTATTCACGTTGTTAAAACAACATAGGT